CACATACCACACAAAAATGTTGTAGGAAATGGCATCATATTCATGGAAAGCACATTCACAGGCAACACAAACCAGATTGGCATGATGAAACGTTCATCTTCAATTTCATGAGCCAACAAAAGTGTTTATAGTTTTAAATACAAAAAAATTACAAAGACTAATGTCTTTCTGTGTGCTTCCTAGATGGTTTGTAGCCCACACATTTTAGTGGCCTTGGTTTTATGGCTGGGCTATACAACAAACCAGCACCTCTGCTTGCATTTGCCACTAAAACAGAAAGGAATATTTAGCCAAAAATATTTTGCAAAAAAAAAGAGATCGGTTGTTAAACATGAATCTCAGGTACATGAAGGTTGGCAGGCATAAGTGAATTAAACTAATTAATTAATCAGCGAACACAAATTAGTGTACAATGTACATGTATGAATGCAATCAGTAGCATAGCTTTTTGTGGGGGGGGGGATGTCTGAACCATCTTAAAAGCTCTTAAAAAGACTGTTGTTTTATGACACCATCAAATACTGCCAGGGGCTTTCCCTCCCCCCCCCCCACCACCATCCAGCTATCTATACGCCACTGTACTTTTCATGCATCAAACTAGTTTTTACAAAGGCATTTGTTTGAACGCCTTCATATAATATATTTCACTGGATTTTGCCCTCCACTGCCGTAGTCAGTGAAGGGCAAATTCTGGTAAAACCCTACATTTAACCCTCCTATGCAAACATACATTCTGTTTAAAGTTGTCCTTTCAATCTAATTCTCACAAGTGACTGTTTTCAACAGTTTAGAGCTCCCAGCCCACATAAAGCAGGATTGACTGGCTAGGACTGTTTATGTAACTTGATACAGCTATACTTTGACTGTAGATGATTGATAAGACAGCTCTGCCTACTTCCTGCCTGCTGTTGCCTGATGACTGAATTTGACTATCACATGCTAGCTTGCTTGAAATATGATCTGACTGTTGGTGACTAGCTTGTGTAAAAGCATGGCAGAGGAAGAGGATTATTTTTTTACTGTCTGTGACTGTTGAAACAGCAGGAGGATTTAAATTGAAAATCATGTCATTGTGAAAACCTTACATTAAAATTACACCAACCTGACGCAATTTCCATCAAAAGTCTGTACTGCGTAATAAAGTATCAATTACAAAGAATTCATCACAATGAAAAGTGACCACAAAAATATACAATTAGTAAAATTATAACAGCTTTTAAATGCTTTGTTTCATAAAGTATAAACAGCAATACATTTAAATGTTGCTGGATCAAATATTAAACTGTCACTTTCAAGAATCTAAATTTTTCATTTTAATAAAACAACGGATGAATTATGCATATCATGTGATACTTCAGTCTCAAACCACAGTAGGGATTACGCCTTCACCGACAGCCAGGTACTGATACCCCACCGTCACCCTGATGTTGGGTTATTCCAAGGATCAGGCACCTCCTCTTTTTAACTCTATGCTGATTACAAGCATCTCGCCTTTATGCCAAGTTTCACTGCATTGTTTAAGGGTCTCGATCTAGCTGAGTCTCTGTAATGCTGAAGAGCTCATCAGAAAATATCACTATCAGAGCTGAATCCTTGATCATCTATGCCAAGTCCTGCTGCAAGGTTTCAGGTTCGGCGGATTTATGCAGAGTGACCCACAGCTCAAACTAACCCAGGACATACACAAAGCTGCTGTATCAGATGTCCCGCTTCAATACTTGAGGATAATGAGCCGAGTCACTGCCATGCAAACGAGCTCAGAAAACATGATCAGAACAAAATCATCGACATGCAGGTATTCCATGTTCTGCTGCAAAGTTTCCAGTTTTAAGCAGAGTCTCTGCAACATCTCTACGGCTCAAAAAAACATGTCAACGTACAGTTCTTATTGAGCTACTTCAATGGCAGAATCAATGGCACAGCTCCGATTTCCATCATCTCTGGCTTTGAAGTTCATGTATCCTAGGATACAGACATCTTTAAACGGCCAACTAGATGCTTATCTGTAACACCGTTAGTGGCGGTTCGGCAGGATTACCATGTGTGACAACTCGGGGAAAAACAACCATCTCACTAGGCGTATGTACAGTTAGGCCTACCCAATTAGCTGTAAGCAAGGGGAAGCTTGTACTACTTGCAATCATTTCAGGCCTAGTTGAGTCTCCAGGTGTTTATGCCAAATTTCTTGCATATCATCCAGCATGTCCAGTAAGGCTTATCCTGGATTTCTAATACTGCAGGTGTTCTGCTGCATAATACAGGTAAAAGTCGACCAGGATCTGATGAGCTATCACTGTCATTTCCCTGCTAATTTAAACTGTACGTGAAGAGCTCTGCCGTGTTTCTTTAGAGACAAATATTCCACCGTGCATCAATGCCTCGTGTTGATCTGTGATGGCGCAAAGTTCACCTATGATTGTTTCCACTGCACTGTAAACTTGTCACCCTGAGATCGAGACCCTTTTTATTATCAGGTACTAGCGACTGAGTCAGTTGGACCTGGGGATCGGCACGGGAAGGGTCCAAACTCCCTGAAGAAGCAATTGCAATGACACAGCTGCATTCACTGCTTATTAAATTACTCTTTAGAATCCTTGCCGGATCATACATGTTCACATTTGCATTTATTTAGAAATCTGATAAATTTGGCTTCAACCAAGGGTAAAGTTTTACTTTACACCGAAATATATGCACCGTCATATCATGTCTTGGCACCAAGATGCAGGAAGTAGTGGCTTACAATTGGCACAAAAGCCATCTTGCCAATAAATAAATAAATGTACAGCATTGAACATCAATAATGTGTAATAATTGTATCTTGCAGACACCAAGGAGGTCATCCTCTTAAATATGACTTGGGTGCCAATGCTATCTCACTTTTATTTTCAATGTACCCTGCATTGATCACGGTATAACGTGTACAAGCAGTGAATGGGCAGATGGCCTCTGGTACAAAATTGGATCAATATTGTAAGACTCCTGTGGTGTGGGGCGTGGTGTTTTACCAAGACCAAGTGCTCCATGGTACCTTCAGCTTGTGTTTGAGTGCCATGCATCTTGATCAATAAATGCCCTACATGAGTAAATACACAGTATGGCATTGACATGCTGAGCTATATAACTCGTCAACATATAGTTTGAACAATTTCCCTATTTTTAGACATAGGCCTATTTGTAAAAGCAGACTACTGTATGTTCGCATACTTTTCATTGAACAGTTTTGTCATTGCTTTTTTGTCCTGTAAAACTGACACCAGGAATCTGGTGCAATCCACTTCCAACTGCAACATACCCAAGGGCTGTTACAAGTACAAGACCATACTCTTACACCAAGCTACTATGATGTGGGCTCTCTTTCCATTCATCATTAGAAAAATTACACTTTGTCAGTTTTGACTTTTGATGGAATTTGCATCAGGATAATTTATATTACATGTATACAAATAATGAATGTTTCACGATTGTGCAATGGAAAGAATAATTTCAATTTCATGAAATTATTCTTACCATTGCACTCACAAACATTCATTAATTGTAAACTATAATTACGGGCACTGTATAATCAGTGCTTTTCAACAGAAATTAAAATCAATAGCAAAAGCTATCTTGAAAGGCCAATAGTATCATTTGCAATTACAGAAATGTAAATAAAATAGCTGACTATTCAGCTCAAGTGTCACATCTTTTAAAGATCATGAACAAAAAGTGTGCCTTTATTTAACAGGTTATTTCAGAAGGCAAATTTTTGAGCACTTGCAAATGATCCTATCAAGCCATGTTACTTCCAACCTACATGTAGGCCAATGAGGCCTTTACTTTTAAAAGATATGCCAGGCCTGTACAGAGGATTTTCAAATGAGTGTCATGTATCGTTTCTATCGAGGAGTGTTCATATCAAGTAGCAAAGACTATTCATAAGATAGAATTTGCATCAATATTAGGTTTTGCCCTTCATCGACGTACAAACACTGTATACTCAGTGTGTTCAACCTGAGTGAAAGTCAGCAAAAGCACTCGGGTGGGAATCGAACCCACAACCTTCTGCTTTGTTGAGCAGACGTCTTACCACTCGACCACCAAGCACGTGTGATTGTTTAACTTTCACTCGGGGGTAACACACCGAGTAGACAGTGGTTATATGTCGGTGAAGGGCAAAACCTAATTATTGAAAATTGTAAAGACTTACATTGTGCAAGCAAAATGTATGCAAGCCATAAATCACACAACAAAAATATAATTTAGCTGTTCAAATGACACTTTTCAAAGGTACTTGTATTAACACCCATCCCTGGTGCAGGCCTGCATATTTTATTTTAACTTTTAGTCACTGTAGCGCCCAAACTGCCCTGCCTGTTACTCACTGTAGCACCAAAACTGCCCTAGCACTCTTAGGGTACATTCGAGTACAATGTACATGTAGCTCACCCGGATCGATGTCTCAGGTTAGCCCCTTGCCGTTCAATTCGCTCCAACGTCTCGAGTCAGCCACCAAGAAACTGCTCAAGGACCAAACTCAGTGGTGGAAACAGGTCCCATGCATACAAGTGTTGTTCATTTCAAGAAACGAACAAATTTGGCGGCTAGACAGCGAAAATGTCGAGCGGATCCAAAAATCAACTTATTTCAAGCAAAAGGGTAATTATTTATTTAGTTAATTTCAACTTTAGAGGCTGTAATTCCAGCCCAACATTTTACTTTTGCAACTCTCTAAAAAGCAGTAAATCTCAAACTTAACACGCAGTCTGAAATGGGCATTTTGTACGGACATCACGTGAGGATCGTGATGGCCCACGGTTGAATATTTGATTAGTCCGGCTGTCATAGCTAATGTCTCCCTTTACAGAGTCGATCCCAGTGAGCTACTTAAAGGCACCCTATGATTAATTTTTTCAGTGAATAAATACACTGTAATAAAATACAGACCAAGATGCTAATGGGTTAATTATATTGAACGACAGATATAAAAATCATCAGTTAAAAAAAGATTGCTCAGCCAATCAGAAGAACATAAATTGCAATTGGTCTCAAATTAAAGCTTATGGTCAAGTGCATTACACACTACCAAAGCTTATATCATCATAGTTCCTTGATTGTTTATTTAAGCACAGTTTTTGTAACTGATGCATTTTTTTATGCACACCCTGTGTAACAGCTATTTAAAGTGCTTTTGGGCAGCCAGGGGAGAGTAGGATTCTCAAAGGGAAGAAAATGGCGTATATCGCATTTTGGAAATACACTCTTCATATGTTCATACACCACACAACAAACATTTCATATTACAGCTTTAGCTAGAAAAATATTCTCACTAATAGGAAATTAGATCTTCATCATTCAATCCTAACTATGAGGTGTTTTACGTGAAAAATAGGGAGGGGGACTTCCACAAATGACTTCTTTTATCAAGTGGTACTAACTTTTCTTTCTTTTGTTTTTAAGTTGTGCACCATGTTACACAATTGTTAAAAACCCGATCAAAAACTCTTTTCTTTTTACATTCTTGCAATGGTTGACATGTACATAGAACTCTCTGAGAAGTTGCAGTTGTATAAAAGAGAAGAGATATAAGCCACAGAAAAATCACTATCTGATAATGCTTGTCCAGTAACTTTACAGAAAACGTTGTTGCTGACCAAGATTTGGTCAGTGACGGATGACATAGTTTGGTTTAATTAGCATTTTAAAGAGATTTTACACTTCAGATCAAACGTTTGTTTGAAAGTGATATTTATGGGAGTATGCACTCTGTATGCCTAACAGCAACAGTGACACCTTCCCTTGAATATGGCCACATTTGGTCATTTTGTCAGGCAACACAACCTACATAATGACACACTAGCAGGGCAAATTCATCAAGGCAACAGAAAGGGACACAGGGGAAAAAAAGTGGCCTGAGTGAATCAAAGAGGACCAAGCTCTCGGTAAAAAATTGATTCAAACAGGAAAGAGGTACAAGCATATAAGGGCAGCCAGCTTCCAGACTGGACAAAGTGCTGGGTGGAAAGGTACATAGTTTACGATGGAAAAAATATCATGTTTTTACTGTTTACATGCCAACTTAGTTGGCAGGAAAATGAACGAACATAGATATTGACTAGATGCATATTGTGATTTGCAATGTTTCAAAGTCACGACAAGTAATCCACAGGACCAAGACAATTAATCCACAGGAAAAAAACAACTTTACATGAGGGCATTCAAAAGTAGAGGCCAACAAGCACTGTGTTATTCAGATAAGTTTTCACCATGGGAATTACACATTTTCTTTCGAGATATTTTCTTTTAAGAATGATTAAAAAGTATGGCACAGTCTTACCTAGCAACTGCAATTGGGACAAGCTCGTGTTTCCATGACTCCTGGTCTCCATTCTGTGCATCATCAGTGACAGGAGATGCTAATGAGACGAGAGAAGCTGGTGCTATCCTTGAGGGCTGGATGACTCCTGACTCCTTGGCTATGGAGATGCTCCTCACAGAGTACAGCCAATCATTACTGCTCCTCCAGTGAAGGTAAACGAAGCAGGTCTATTGTCCCTGGGCCCAGCACAGGAGTAAGATGCCATGGGTATAGAAGACCCGTAGGCTTGCTAAAGTGGGGACACATTGCTATGGGTGCCGAGTCCTTGAGTATAGGTGACCCATCGGACTGTCCAGTGAGGATGGGCCAAAACAGGGATCTTTATTCATCGAGTCTCGCATTGCACCTCACCACATTCGCAGCAGATTCTCTCAAGGTCTGCACTTCAGGTCCTGCTTGTCCTTGTGGGATTGTAAAACACTGTGAATACTGATTAGTGTGCCCTTATAAAATAGCATAGCAAACCACCAAACAACTGGCCAGTGGTAAAGTGGTCTTTCAACTGACATTCAATGTGGCACTATGCAGAAGTTTCATTGGAGTCAACATTGATTTGAATTTGTTGACTCTCAAGCAATTTGATCGTCAGAGAAAGCAAATCCCAACTTAAGTGTCCTACATGTATATATTAAGACCTGTTCTGTATACCAATACTCTAATATAGTAAAATGCCATTTTTAATATATTTTCAAAGAGTATGGTGGCATATTGATCTCATTTAATCAATGTTCGCAGTAGCGTTAATCCTTCATCATTGCCTTCAGTATTATTCCCATGCAATATTCACATGCAACTAAACTTACAAAGTTAAGCTGATGAGTATAACGTATTGACTCAGACATATTCAAGTTGACTATGAAAGGACAATAAATATTACCATATTATGCTATGAATTATCAATAACATATATGCGTACGAGTAATAACTTGAGTACTATATTGTTCAAACATTTCCCGAGTTTTCTAATTTAAAAGAATAATTTCACATTTTACTGGTATTTTCAATGGTTTTTGATAGTCGGTAATTGAAGAAAGTAAAATATTTATGGTTAGAAAGTTGGCACATGATCCATATGTGAGAAGAATTAGATTAACATTTTTATTTGTCAAGGTAGGTCTATATCGTGTTTAAATGAAATAATCAGAGAACAGTTTCCAAATTATATTTCGATGAAACACTGAGGCACACAGAGTATGGTGGCATTAATGTTAAATCTATTTTTGCAGTAACATTACCCCCCCCCCTTCATTGCCAAAGGAATTATTCCAACGAAATAGTCACATCCTTTTTTTTTTATTTGCAAAGTTAAGCTGGTGAGTATACAGTATACATGTAGATTCCGACATATTAGAGTTGACAACTATAAAGCATGTGAAGTGCTGCTATGAAGCGCGTCACCTTTTCAGTTTGGTAGCGTACGATCATTGAGGGCGTACTTGTGGGAAAAAGAGGCGTTGCGCATTAGTCTGTTGCTAGCCAGGGAACAGAGTGCTGCATAGACTCAAATCGGGGTAATAGCACACCAGGCCCGTCATTTTTAATCCTTGTTCTGTTCTTTCAGTATATTTTACTTTTTTAAGAATGTGGTGATTTTGTGATGTGAACATGTTTTTTTTTTTTTTGTTTTGTTTTGTCTCATAGTGCAATATTGTGGCACATGTAACTTCTGTGCATAATTCTTATAATTTACTATTTCACTGTATTGATGTCCTTTATATTATTATATTGTTATTGTTACGTGTGTGTCACTATTTATAGCTATAGCTTCCTACGGTTGTGAGTCCAAGGGCAGACTAGCGTAGAGTGGATACCTTTGAGATCTGGGCATACAGACGCGTTCTCCGAGTGTCGTGGATGGAGAGGAGGACCAACCGCTGGGTATTGGATAGCACAGGGAGTGAGTTGATGCTGAGACAACAGATGGCTGTGCGGAAGATGCATTTCTTTGGCCACGTCATGCGCCGCGAAGGAATCGACAAAGAAATAATCCAGGGATTGGTCTATGGGAAGAGACGTCCTCCAACAACATCATGGAACCAACGACATAAAGCAGTGGACCAGACAGGGACTTGCAGCAGCATCAAGATCAGCAGTGGATCAAGATTGTTGGCGTAGACTAGTAATGGCCACTGAGCGCAAATTACGCCATCGGACTGAAGAGAGAGGGAGGTACTTGACCGTGATTCATTCATGTGGTATCCCCCATTCAACATGTGGTATCCCCCCTTCGGCCACTACGTTCACTGTTTAACCAAGAAGAATCGTGATTTCATATGGGACGAGTAGTGTGACAGCTCTTTCAACACCCTCAAGACAGGATTGCAGGAGGTCACTATCCTGGGTTACTCTCAACTGGAGGGCCAATACATACTCGATCTGATGCCAGCAGGGATGGGATCAGTCAGTTCTCTCGCAAATTTAGGAAGGGAAAGAAAGAGTTATCACCTATGCAAGTCTGGCATTGTCCGAACCAGGTGCCTACCTATGTTGCCCAATACCTACATGTTCCACAACCCTAACCCTGGAAGCATCTGCATCTGAGACCTTTACTTTTAAAAGATATGCCAGGCCTGTACAGAGGATTTTCAAATGAGTGTCATGTATCGTTTCTATCGGGGAGTGTTCATATCAAGTAGCAAAGACTATTCATAAGATAGAATTTGCATCAATATTAGGTTTTGTCCTTCATCGACGTACAAACACTGTATACTCAGTGTGTTCAACCTGA